GTCTACGAGTCGTTCCTGTAAAACCAAGAGGCATCGAAAATAAAGTATCTTCGTTACTTTGCTCGACGAGGTCTTTGGCTGGTTTGAACCATCTGGAAGCGAGTCCCCAAGAACAAACCCACGAGGCCCGGTCCGATCGACATCCTCGGGTAATCGCTATCACCGCTTCCGAGTAAACGATCCCCGACCTAACACCGGCCGAAGGTGATGTGCGCAAGAGGCCGAGGCGCAGCGGGCCTCGGCAAGGGATAGATAGGCCCGGGTGTATTTGCCACGTCACAGTATGTATACATAATGTTTAATATCCGGCCATCTAGCCTTTATGTATGTATAAGATAACGTTCATATATACATGTACATATGTTAAATACATCCAATAGAAATTGATATACGAGTATATTACGTATATTATACATTCAGCGGTGCCCGGGTATGCACAGTATATTTAAGTCGGACAGTATAACCCATTGAAACGCATATTACAATCTTTTGTTAGATTGACACCGGTACCAACATGCATCGGATAATGTCAATTGACCTTTACAGTCACCTCATTTGATAGACAGTTGGTCACCGATAATTTTATCGCCATGTGTCCACAAACGGCCGACAATATGTAAAACAACCAACTTTTGGCTACCGCACACGGTAGTCGGTTTGTCGATGAACGCGACGGCATTTGGATGTTTATCGCGATGAAAAAATCAGTATTGATGTATTTCTAAACATTGAGATAAGTGTAAGATTGGACTAGGCATGTCTACTAATTCAATTAACTTATAGCAATTGATATTCATTGTATCAGAGTAAGGAAAAGCGGAAGAAAATTAACAAAACCTACGAAAAGCGATGGAACTGCATAAGGCCCAGTGCTTATTCTCAAATTGTGAGTCATCGCGAGTCCTGCGGTGAATAAGCGTGGCTGCGGGTGCAATTTTGGTACACGGAAAGAAAAAGGTTGTTATAATTACTACAATTGAGATAGATATAACAGCAATCGCTGAGAAATATAAGGACAGCAGTTCTACAAAATAATGATTACCCTGCTAAAAATGTCAAATGTACAATTCCATTGTAGTACACATTATTTCAAAGAATGATTACAGTTACAACAATATACGACAGTTATATCTACAATCGTGACAGCACAAACTCGTCAATTGAAGCAATAGTTACCATGTAACACGTGTATATGATAACGTTCGCTGGTGTACCCTTTACAGTTGATACATGTAGAAAGTAACATGAAGCAATGCATTTATTACCGTTGGGGTAGCTAGAAAATACAATAGCGACATGTGTATATTCTAGTCAGCTCGTGTAAAAACTATCTTTGACAAACGTCAACATATGTGTGTTGCCGTTGCGGCATGTAAAAAGTATCATTGTAAACGGCAACCTTTCCTGTCGGGAACGCGGGAAATTTTTTTAATTACCAATTTTATAATTACTTACCAGTTTTTTTAAGAATAAGTTTACAAGATGTAATAAGTATCATCAGCACTGATCGAGGAGTACTACAGCGGCATAAATCTGAAAACTTCATAAGCTTCGGCAGCATCACAGTCAACTTTATAGCTACCTACCCATGAATCCTGGGTTTAGTACCCAACAGTAGTTAAACAATTTTCCTGTATCAAGAATAGCAGGACATCTCTGCACAGCTGTACTGAACAAGTCTTCAAATAGACTCGACTTACAAAGTGTTATGAATTTCATTTTTTTTCTGATGTATACAATGCATGCCCAAAATTTGTCAAAGTTAGATTTTCGAGTCATTGAAGAACTATTTAGAATCGAACCTAGATTTTAGAATATTTTAGGAACTAGTTAAGTTCACCGAATTTATCGAGTATCCAGACTCGATACCTTTTCTTATTTTGTCATTTCCCTTTTACCTCACCTCGCGTATTTCCTTAAATCTTTTCTAAAGCGTTGTAATTTTCTGAGAGAGATTTTCTCTTCACTCTCGAACGAGTCGGTCCTATATCGCGCCTGTAAACAGGACGGGCTATTTTGGAAACCTATTAGAAATACACATAATTTTCTTTTAATTAAAGCTTTATTTTCTAATTATTTATTGAGTTCATTACTTGCCGGTCTGACAATTTGGCCTTTTCCCTTTTCCCTTTCCGTTTTTGAGTTCAAATAAAATAGACGTGTCGAGCAAAACGTTGTGTTTCGAGAATCGGTCCAGTAGAGTTCCTTACCCCGCACTATCGGAATTTGGCGCCTGCGCTCTGAGCTAGCCGGCCATGCCGCACCGGTTGCCCGAGCCAAGGGCCGGCCGAAAGACGTTTCGTGTAGATTTTGGAGATTGGTGATATTTTGTGGAGAAATGTTGAGAATCGGCCTCCGGTGAGAGGCCTGGCGCCCAACTTTGGCATTATTTGTGGAGTCGGCTTGGAGAGTGCCCTGGTGGACTCCGGGGACTCGCGAGTTTGCGTTTCTGGTAGCCTCTCGAAGGGTCCCGGTGGGCTTCGGGAGGTTACGCGTTAGTGGGGGAAAACGATAGTCTCTCGGCAGGCCCCGCTCGAAGCGACCGGTGTTAGGTCTCTACCTAACATTTTATTTTAAGTAATATTAAGAAAGAGACTAAGCAACGCGTCTCGCGCTCCAAAACGCTCCTGGAGACATGCTCTCCCTCGTTCTTATCTCCCCTTTGTTTATCCGAGTACTTCCGCACCCCAAACTATAGATGACAGCCCTGGGAAACGTCAAACATTCAGATTCTCTGGAAAAAGACACTTTCCACCTGTTTCCCCTTCGACCTGTCCCCAAGCCAATCACGTGAGACATTTCCCTCCTCGATCTTAAAAACCCACCAATAAGCATCCTCCTCCGCGCCTAGGAACATTCTAGGTCAGTATAAAAAGGCCCGCTACGAAGGGTTCGCTCTCTGATTTACCGAAGTTTGAACTGTCTCCATTCTGTAACCTGCGTGCGAGGCACCTGTAACTCTCGGCGAACGCTAGTCCCCTTGAGTTGACCGAGTCTACGAGTCGTTCCTGTAAAACCAAGAGGCATCGAAAATAAAGTATCTTCGTTACTTTGCTCGACGAGGTCTTTGGCTGGTTTGAACCATCTGGAAGCGAGTCCCCAAGAACAAACCCACGAGGCCCGGTCCGATCGACATCCTCGGGTAATCGCTATCACCGCTTCCGAGTAAACGATCCCCGACCTAACACCGGCCGAAGGTGATGTGCGCAAGAGGCCGAGGCGCAGCGGGCCTCGGCAAGGGATAGATAGGCCCGGGTGTATTTGCCACGTCACAGTATGTATACATAATGTTTAATATCCGGCCATCTAGCCTTTATGTATGTATAAGATAACGTTCATATATACATGTACATATGTTAAATACATCCAATAGAAATTGATATACGAGTATATTACGTATATTATACATTCAGCGGTGCCCGGGTATGCACAGTATATTTAAGTCGGACAGTATAACCCATTGAAACGCATATTACAATCTTTTGTTAGATTGACACCGGTACCAACATGCATCGGATAATGTCAATTGACCTTTACAGTCACCTCATTTGATAGACAGTTGGTCACCGATAATTTTATCGCCATGTGTCCACAAACGGCCGACAATATGTAAAACAACCAACTTTTGGCTACCGCACACGGTAGTCGGTTTGTCGATGAACGCGACGGCATTTGGATGTTTATCGCGATGAAAAAATCAGTATTGATGTATTTCTAAACATTGAGATAAGTGTAAGATTGGACTAGGCATGTCTACTAATTCAATTAACTTATAGCAATTGATATTCATTGTATCAGAGTAAGGAAAAGCGGAAGAAAATTAACAAAACCTACGAAAAGCGATGGAACTGCATAAGGCCCAGTGCTTATTCTCAAATTGTGAGTCATCGCGAGTCCTGCGGTGAATAAGCGTGGCTGCGGGTGCAATTTTGGTACACGGAAAGAAAAAGGTTGTTATAATTACTACAATTGAGATAGATATAACAGCAATCGCTGAGAAATATAAGGACAGCAGTTCTACAAAATAATGATTACCCTGCTAAAAATGTCAAATGTACAATTCCATTGTAGTACACATTATTTCAAAGAATGATTACAGTTACAACAATATACGACAGTTATATCTACAATCGTGACAGCACAAACTCGTCAATTGAAGCAATAGTTACCATGTAACACGTGTATATGATAACGTTCGCTGGTGTACCCTTTACAGTTGATACATGTAGAAAGTAACATGAAGCAATGCATTTATTACCGTTGGGGTAGCTAGAAAATACAATAGCGACATGTGTATATTCTAGTCAGCTCGTGTAAAAACTATCTTTGACAAACGTCAACATATGTGTGTTGCCGTTGCGGCATGTAAAAAGTATCATTGTAAACGGCAACCTTTCCTGTCGGGAACGCGGGAAATCACTACAGATATAATACATTGAAAACGGTAAGTATTTGTTTTATGTAAAGCTTACCTTGGAACGATTGTTGTAGGTTTTCTAACCTCTATTCCTGAAGTTCATTTTTTACAAAGTGATCCATGTTGTCACTTAATCAAACTATTACAATGAATTGAAAAAGTAAAACTCGGTCTTAAATTAGATCGAAAACCGAATTTCGAAGAGGACCGATTGAAGCGGCTACTGAAGTCACAATGAATCTAACAGTTCGCAGAACTGCGCAACTAATGCATGTCACAATAGGAACAACAACAGTTCACGCTTGTAAAAATTACTAGTGCTACGGTATATTATACGGTTTTCAGTGGAGTTTTTGTTTTTAAATTGTACAACTGTGATGGTCATTTTTACACGTGCCTTTATACGTGTAATTTTTACTTTCCAATGTTATATATGTAACACTGTCAGATGCAAATATAACTGCAATTTATTTACAAGAATTTTGCAGTTGGTGCTACAGCCGCAATGGTTAAAAGGACAAAATATTGTAATTACATCTACAATAATTGTTGTGAAGGTTACGACAATACTTTGACCCGCGAGTATATGTAATTATTACAATATTATTTTTCTGCGTGTACAGCACGACGAAATTGCAGTTCCAATTTTTTCGTAGTTTATGTGCATGCCCACATTTGAGTACGGGATTCCTAATCACACCATCGACAGGTCACCGCAATGGTTAAAAGGACAAAATATTGTAATTACATCTACAATAATTGTTGTGAAGGTTACGACAATACTTTGACCCGCGAGCATATGTAATTATTACAATATTATTTTTCTGTGTGTACAGCACGACGAAATTGCAGTTCCAATTTTTTCGTAGTTTATGTGCATGCCCACATTTGAGTACGGGATTCCTAATCACACCATCGACAGGTCACCGCAATGGTTAAAAGGACAAAATATTGTAATTACATCTACAATAATTGTTGTGAAGGTTACGACAATACTTTGACCCGCGAGCATATGTAATTATTACAATATTATTTTTCTGTGTGTACAGCACGACGAAATTGCAGTTCCAATTTTTTCGTAGTTTATGTGCATGCCCACATTTAAGTACGGGATCCCTATTACACCATCGACAGGTCACCGACAATCGGGTCGGTGTCAAATCCGTGAAAAAATGGAACATGGCCCATCTTTTTAGGCGATCCGTCTTTTTAGCCGTTCGTATATGATGCCGCGTAAGAATCTATCGTGAACAATCTAACCGATATGTCGCATGCGATGGCCCTGAATCCCCCATCTACAGAATAATAAGAAGCACTGTTGACAGAGTAATGCCCATGCTAATACCATTTATCGGTACCGTTAAATTCAATAAAATTTCACATATTTTATGCACGTGACGGAACAGTCACTCGTTACTTTTTGATTGGCTTTATAGGGCCCTCAAGACGTTGGTACTGTCTGCTACAGGTAGAACAGAGTTTATTGTTTTGAAAGTATTCTTTAAATTAAAGTTAAGGAAAATTGTTACGAAATATGTGGAGCTACTGCTTGAAAAATTTGTATCTAAATTATCAATTACTTTATGTAATAATCTAAATTATAGACATTACTATTCCATGCTTATCAACATTAAATGAACCCAACAAATCTCTTAATGGGTTTCTTGACCTGTTCAGCATACATGAAGCCGGTATGGTTAAAATCCGTTTAAGTATTACAAATTATATGAAATTACACGTATAAAATCATTAATTAGGTCAATGAAAGTTGGGGTACTGTATCTTTCATTCAATCTAAAGTTGACCATTAAGCTTAAATAACGCATCCTGCGATAACGTACGCAAGGACTTATAAGAGAAACGATCTTTACAGAAACCTATACGATATGTGCGCTTCAGTGAAACGATGCAGCAAAGCCGCCTTGATGGAAACAAATGCATAAAGAAACGCGGAGTCTTAATTATTTTTTACAGTGTTTGAAACCCGTATGTTTATATAACCTACAAGGTCATATCGATTCATCGTAGCCTCAACGCGTTTTCAAATTTAGTTTGCCAAGATTTGTCAACAATTCTATCTTTTCTGATCTGAAAATATGTAAACTTCTGTATTGAAAGTTTTGTCCACTTTTTGGAACTGATCCGTTCGGGGTTTCAAATAACCTGTACAATAGTTCGAAGACTCTAAAAAGAGCTGAACAAAGCGAAAGCGGAAGAATGTGGTTTCTTCTTTTTCAGCATACTTGTCATCGTGGCTGGCGGCGGGCGTGCAGAGAAGTCTCGTACATAATTTAACGCAGGACTCTGCGTTAGTTTCGCTTCATTCTAGACCACCTTGAGAAGGTGCTACTTTCTCTCGGGAATGTAGTTATCATTGTACAATCCGGTTCCCTTTGCATCGCCTAGCCACGGGTACCTATTTGGACATTCTCTGCATGTCTCCATATACCTGGAAATTTGAAGTTTCAAGATATTATTGAAATTCTGGAATACTATTACAATAAAGAAGGCACTTATTCTCATCTTTTTCAAAAAACAACGATTTATTGATCTCCACAGATCCAATGTAAGTGATAGTTTTTAATTATTTAATTGGAATGAATACCGACTACAAGTAAGTGTGTGTCTTAATCACCTGGTCGCAGTGAAGTTGGCTTCTGCAGGTTTGAAGTCTAAGGCACACTTGTTCGCATTATTGCATGATGGCCCAGGAAGGTTGTTGTTATTATTGCAGGACCAGCCGTCAAAATTATGCAAAACATTGACAGGCTTAGGATCGGTTATCCACGTCAAAGCTTGAGTGGCTGTGACAAAGTACACGTCGGGCCTAACAAAACAATTCACAATAAAACAATTACCTTCGGACATTTAGATAGTTAGCACGTTGACTGCCATAGCGGTTGCCCACAACCTTTAATTATCTTCTCGGGGAGACCATAATGTTCACCGTGAACGGATTGAATACTATCCCAGTGAACACCAAACCTAACAGTTACGTAACGTTAAACTAACAAATAACAACGTTTGTTACAATGTAATAACCTAACAGTTACGTAACATAGAGCTGACTAGTTACATGACATTTGTTACAATGAAGTAACTTAGCAGTTATGTAATATGGAGCTAACGGATTACATAACATTTGTTACTATCATATCTATATAAATGTAGCATAACTTTGTTATTCTCATCTTACATTATGTTACTATCCTGATATTACTGTGTATATGCAGCACATATTTGTAACAAAACGGAACTACATTTTTGTGTGCTGTCATTTATTTTATTAGATCATCGTCATTGTCATAATTCACCGTCAAATGTCATAAGATTAATATATGTCATATTTTGTTTACTACTCGTATGAAAAAATGTGACTTTAATTCATACGCGCATATACATTATCAGTAATTGTTTGCTAGTCGAATGAAATCCTAATTTTCTTTAAGTAAAATCAAATAGTTTATCATTACATAATTTCATTGAAAGTCTGATTTGTCATTTAATATCTAACTATTGTCAACTACCAAAAAATAATTAAAACTACAAAACTGTATAATTTTGGATAAAATTGCGTGATCCTTTTTATTAAATGTATGGAAAATTAATATTATTTTAAGGTAACTGAAATTATAACATTAATATAATCTGTCACATAGCATGTTACCTTACCGAGTGGGAAATAATAATTAACATCTAACTTCCATGTTACTTTTATGCTACATAACATGTTAGTTTCGAAAACGTAACATTTACCCAGCAGTTATATAAGTGTTCACTGGGACTTGAAAATGTTTTGTATAACCTATAATAGACCACAAACGGATATAACCTAACAAATTCGTTGCGTAGTCCGCACAGAATGACGAAATGTACGATAATGTTGCATTCAGATTGATGATAAATGTACGTACGATAGTTTAATCAAGGTGTAAGTATTTTCAATTTTCTTTCCTGTCTTTTCATTTAATGCTAAACTGCAGTGACTCTAATTAATTAATATCAATAATGCATATTTTGTGATTTTAACTCGTTAAACGAATGACACATTCCAATATCATGTAATAATATAAAAATGTTAACTATTTTCTAACAAAATACTTTTACTTAGGAACTAGAAGATATAGAGTAATAAAAATACTTTAAAAATTATTCATAATATGATTTAACATTAATTCCTAAAGTCAATTTCTCTATCAAAATTTTCCACCAGTCGGTATTTAAAATGTCCCATCATTCATGAAGTTAGCTATTTGTCACTTTTGCGGTGTTGCCAGATTGGCCAAATCATTTAAGTATCCTCCAGATAGCAAGCCAAAAGTTTCAGTAAAAAAAAAACAAACCTTTACTTATCTGGCAGATAAGAAAAGGTTCTTAGAGATAGCTATTCTCTGGATAAAGAATATATCTTTATTCAGAGGATAGCTATCCAGAGTTATATAAAAATCGGGCATAAGTATTCACTTAATGTTCATAAGTAAATATACTCTCAGTGAAAACATCAGTGGTGAAGTTGATTAAATTAAACTTTATATGGAATGTGTTTTAATTTTTTATTTTATGTTTAAGTTTCTTATTGTATGATGACAGACGAAGCGAAAAAAATACATGAAATTAGGTTACCCCCGTAAAATCTAAGTAGAAAACCAACGAGAGAAATTCCGCCAAGGAGCCAGAAGAATTGCCTGAGAAAGCAAGAAATGTTAAAGGCATTCCAATGCCACTTGGAAGGTATGCGAGTGTCACCCTCACCATGATATCCGAATGCACGTGCGTAGACATCACGACGTACAAACTGCTTCTTACGTCGCTAAAACAATTCTACATAAAAAGAACTTATAACACGAATAAAGGAGTGTACCGGAAGTGAATAATGTTCACGGTGATACAGAAATGATAATAAACATTTTAAGAAAATTGTTCACACTGTTCACCACTGTCTTCGATTTTTAAACGTGTCAGGGTCACTGTTTGAAAAAGCCTCAACGTTGCAGAAATGAATAGTCCTTAAGATCTCTAAAGCATAGTATTCATAATAATTATTCATGTCCTCGATAGAAAAGATTTGTGTATTTCAGAAGACCCGCAAAATTTAATTGGAAACACCCTGAAACGGTGGAAATTGAAATCGGCCGAATGGAACGTGGCACTCGAAAACGCTTCGGACTCGTGTTGGAAAGTGAAGGTGCCGCGGATGGCAATGACGCTGTGTCGTCGACATACAATCAAGTGCCCAGGGGCAGCACGCCCGTTACTCGCGTGCACGTAGCACATAGCACAGCGTTTACTGGTAAGCAAACCCGTCTACACGTGTCTGTTTCAGTGTGCACCCATCGAATTGATCTTATGTAAACACAAGTGAAAACGCCTACCAGTTCCGAGACCATGGATCTATAAAGAGAAGGTGAGAATCGCTCCGCAACTGAACATCAAGGAATGGATGGTGGCCATCTTACCCTAACAATAATCATGTGTTTTAAGGTCGATTTACATGTGTCCATTCCACATCAGTTCCGTGTCCGTAATATATACTGGCGTTCATGAATGCTTTCCCTGACACTTGTGCCACTATAGTTGCGAGGAAGGCATTAATATCCGCCAGTGCACAATACGGATACAGAACTGCTCTTAAAACAGTGCCCAACACAATTCCCTGATATATATACTTGAGACACGTGCATTATTATACTTCGAAAAAAGATACAGTACATACACTTTGGCTGTCGTCGTTATGAACACAACATATCTGTGTATATATGTATATAACCATTCTAAAATGTCTCCTGCAGTCCCTTCCCTTTACGTCTCGAGCTTCAGCACCATTGTCTAAATACTCCCTTTATGCTTCATCCGTGTTTTCATAGATCATGCTCGAATATTATATATTTGTTTAAGCATTAACAAGTGAAACGGAATCATACATGGTATACCATTTCACCTCTATCCTATCTATTATATATGTTTATTGATGATACAACAAATCTGCTGCGGTACTTGAAATTTCATTTTTAGGACTTAGAACAGATAAATCATTAAACGCGTAGTCAAAATTAATACATTTATTTTGAAATATGTAAATTGGAAGTGAATTTCCAAACAGCATTGAATATTAGTTAGTATTTGGAGGATATGCATCGATTACGTATATTGAATGTGCGTACAAGTTCATGTACCGAAAATTCAAATTATATGTATTATCCCAATCACCGCGCAACGTGGAATATCCATAAATTAACTGTATATAAATGTTTGCTGAATTTATGTAAGATATATATATCTACGAATTCTATTTTAGATACACTTAAAGGCTAGATGTCCAGATATGATATGTAATATATCGTAGATATCTACAATAGACGGTTAATCCATGTTTACAGATATCCATATGTACTTGTAAAAGAAATGAAATTCAGAACACTTTCTGAACAGAGTCTATTTGAGAACTTGCTCATTGTCAGTACAGTTATGCAGACAATTCCTGCTATTTTTGACACAGAGACATTTTTTTGCAATTGTCGGGGTTTGAACTCGGGACTCAAGAGTAGGAAGCAATTACGGTGATCTCGACGCTAACTGTCAGGTCATGAAGGAATAAATATTCATAATCATCATAATCTTCATAAGTCTGAAAAAAAATATTTTTCGGACTTATAAAGATCGCTCCGGTACTTCTCGATCGGTGCTAAAGATATTTATTGCATCATCTTGTAAACTTATTCTTAAATAAAAAACTTGTAAGTGATTGTAAAATGAAGTCATTTAAAAAATTGTAACAGTATGTTATAAAAACATATTTTTATTTAAAAGTGTATAATAAATGTATACCGATTCACTTGTAAGATACTAAATTCATAATTTTAGTACAACCTGATATACTAAAAGTGCATGAATTTTATGAATATTATTTAAAGATATTTCATTTTCATGTGCGCAATTTTTTACAGAGTAATTACATTTTTATAAGTCTGTGAAAGCTGAATATAAACTATTGATCTGAATATAAACTATCAATTGAACGTTTTCGAATAGTTTAGACTTCTATACAGGTTATCTAGATTTCAAAGAAACATGTACTGAAAATATAGGTGTGAAGAAGATTTACATGTATATTCACGGGATATTTTTATTATGCATACTACGGATAATGTAAGTTTTCTGTACTTCTATCCTAATTTGTACGTCCATACTTCATACGTTGCCTGGTAATACATCATAATTTACACAGTGGTAAAAAATCATGACGTATGGTCACCAGTCAAAGAGGAAGTAAATAAAAAATCAGAGTATGAACGAATTTAACAGTTTTATCAAGTTGGAATTCAGATATAAACATTAAGTATGTATGAAAAATATTAGGTTACATAAGGTGTCTTTTTATTTTACTAAACGTATTTCCAACGATATTAATGAACCTTTAGTAGCTGTCTACTAGAGAATATGATTTAACATTAATTCCTAAAGTCAATTTNCGATGTTTCTCTATAGCTAATCGAAACCTCTCGTTCGATCTGTTGAAAAATTGAAATTCTCATAATTTCTCGATAAAAAAGGCTTTGGAGAAATTACCGATAAGTTACCGGGAATTTCTCTTCGTTTCTGACGTAACTTACTGGATTTAGAACTCTACGCAAGCGAAGCTCCGATAGGGCATCGCGGAATAACATGTAGATTCACCGTGTAGTTCAATATAGAGTATAAGACAGAACTAAGAAGTAGAACGTACCAAAAACGCGCGGTCTATTAACTCTGTAATAAAAGGAAAGTTCCTATATGCCAAATTGGCTTAATAGTACTAAGCATTGTGTTTATACCAAAACAGTGTATTATTTACCATGAATTAAAACAGATGGTTGGTGACCCGAGTCAGATAAAATATTATTAACACGCATGTGGCCAAACGCGCCATATCTAATCAACCAACGGCGCCATCTATCACGTTTACCTATAACTACATTTCCGTTTTAAGAACACGTGTTACCCACAAAACAAACCAGTAGTTAGTTATGTGACGAGTCGAGTACTTGAACTCGTTAAGGTAAAGTGAAACCCCCTTCAAATCAATCAATTCGAAAACAACACTTTTTTTTAAGGGTATTAAGCCAAACTGTCCGAAACTTTGACACATCACTTCTGATCATCTAAGAATTGTCCTGACACATTCAAAATTTGGATTTTTGGAAAAAAATTTTTAACTTAGCCCAGACCAGAACCAAAATGGCGTCAAGCTCTCATATTTTGATCAATATAGAATTATGGAAAGCTCTAATATGAGAAACGAAAGGGTCAGGACAATTTTACGACAATTTAGAACACTCTGGTAATCGATAAACTCGCATTTGAACGGGATAAAAGCAAAAAAAGTGTTGTATGCGCTTCTATGCTAAAACGATGGGAATTCGAGGTCTCGGAGTGAAAATTTAATTAACCTGGAAATCACAGATGGCGCAGGGGGTCCCTCTGCAATCAATTAGTGCCCTAGAAAGCATGAATCCAGAGGATTTCTGGAGTTTTACTTTTATTTCTTTATAATTATTGTACGGAAACGACATATGGTGTACGCCATTTGGTACAATATCCAATATAATTCCACACAGCTGTCAATATAAAAACGAACGTCGGCAATGTAGGCATTTAGAAAAATCTTCTTTATCGACGTCGATTAAATTCCTCGACGTGTTTCACTTCACCTTAAACTCTAGTCATGCATGTATTCGAGTTACAACACGAGTCACATTTATTATAACTCGAATTATTAGCACAAACAAATACGGTACGCATTATTTGTTCACTCGAGTACTCGTTATTTGAGCTGTTTTATTCGCAAACTCGTTATAGCCTCGACTCGCTGGGCCGAATGTACGTGACATCAAATTGTCGACTCAAGTTGGCAATGCTCGAGTAACTCGAATCGATGAAGAACTCGACTCGTTATATCGCTTCGACTCGAGTCACCGATAATCGAGTTGTCCAGTCAAAACTCGAGATGGCAACGTTTTCGGTTTCGAGTAACTCGAGTTAGTAAAATATGCCACTCGTCACATCATTAAGGTGAAGTGAAACCCCCTTCAAATCAGTCGATTCGAATACAACACTTTTTTTAAGGGTATTAGACCAAACTGTCCGAAACTTTGACACGTGACTCCTGATCATCTAAGAATTGTCCTGACGCATTCAAAATTTGGATTTTTTAAACCAATTTTTTAACTCAGCTCAGATCAGAACCAAATTGGCGTCGAGTTCTCATATTTCGATCAATATACAATTATCGAAGGCTCTGATATGAGAATCGAAAGCGTCAGGACAATTTTACGACAATTTAGAACACTCTGGCAATCGATAAACTCGCATTTGAACGGGATAAAGGCAAAAAAAGTGTTGTATGCGCTTCTATGCCAAAACGATGGTTATACGAGGTCTCGGAGTGAAAATTTAATTGACCTGGAAATCACAGATGGCGCAGGGGGTCCCTCTGTCGTCAATTAGGACCCCAGAAAGCATGAATCCAGAGAATTTCTAGATTTACTTCGATTACTCTAGTTTTAGTCTAGATTACTCTAGTTTTAGTCTAGATTATTCTAGTTTTAGTCTAGATTACTCTAGTTTTACTTCAATTTCTTCACATTTATTGTACGAAAACGGCAGGTTGAGTCCAATATAATTCGACCCAACTGTCAATATAAAAACGAACGTCAGCAACGTAGGCATTTAGAAAAATCTTCTTTATCGACGTCGATCAAGTTCCTCGACGTATTTCACTTCACCTTAACCAGCATTCTCTTACAATCATTTATGAAAGTATTTCTCATATTCTCCCATCTGCTTCTGTGATATTCAATTTCCATAGCATTCTAAATTGTTCGAGCAAGATTTTGAGTTTTCATTAGCGATTCTAACAATAAATCTTCGAAAAGCGTAAAACATCGAAAATATGGGTGAAAGACGCGGTATTGGTTCTAGTCCATGATAAATAAAAACATGTCTTTTATAAAAAATGAGAGTTTACGAGTTTCAGAGCCTATCTTATAGCATTCCTATTCATGTGGTAAAATTTAAAACGAAGTGGTACATCCAACTCGGAAAAAACTTTCATAAACGATTTGATCCTTCAGATATCTCTTACATGGCACTTTAATTGGTGCAATATTGATAAACCGTAGTTCATACAGTGGTTAAACATTGCGACTGTTGTTCGAATATTAAAATGTAAACATTTTTATTTATTGGTAGAATATTCCATTGCAATATACAAAAGCAATATTTATCTAATATTGCAAGTATATCATACTAAATTATCGCGTGCCAAGCCACATTTTACCGATATTATACCAATAAATTAAATGTAATATTTGTGGAACGCGAAATATTATATTATCATTATCAATATTGGTCAATATCAAAATTAAAATTAAAAAAATTATATTGTACTAATAAATAATATTGCGTCAATCTCACTCAAATATATTACCACTATTCGTTGCCACAGGGGATACGCATTGTTAAGTAAGCATATAAATTGTCTACACATAAAGGGAAATATTTACCCGGAAAAAGATAATTCATAAATTTATATACAATTATGTGTGATTTGTCGGATATAATTAGGACCGAAAAATAGCGCGATTTAATTGTATATGATCACATATAATCATACATGTTTGTATATGTATGGTCATATTTAATTAAATTGCACCACTTTTCGCATATGCCCACATCATGGGAATTAGATATAACCGTACATGAATATGTATGGTATAATTAATTTTTTCGGGCTGTTGCTAAAAAAATCAATTTTTTTTCGGACAGAGTTAACTAACAAAGGCTCT